CCCCCCCCCCCCCCCCCCACTACTCTTCAGCAATCCACAACAATAAGTTACACTTTCATTAATTATTATATATCTTTCTTTACCTTATGTCCTTGCTTATGTAGCTCAGAAACATTGGCATCACCGGCTTTATCAAACTGTTCAGTTTGTCGCTGCAGGAAAAAAGGGTAAAAAACAGCTTTAATATTTCCAATTTTGACAACCAATACCTGTACTTCTAAAGCTTTATGTGAGTTTTCACCACATTATAAACACTGACACCGAGTTTTACTCGCTTACCTCTTCCACCCAGTTGTCTAACAGAGTTTTTCCAGAAGAATTGTTATGTCTGGTAACACTTAGAGTATCTGCACTCATTTTATAAAATAAAAGATGCAAAAAATGTAAACCAGAATCGAAAGAAAGCAACAAGTTTGTCTTCAGTACTCGACCCCAGCTGATAATAATGCAATTATTTTGTTGTCCTGGAAACTACGCTCATTGGCATTATGGGAAGGTTTACTACATTAGCATAAATAAAGATCGTCGGTAAACATACAAGATGGCGGCAAGCTCATCTTCAGAAGAATCGCTCGCCTCGCTCTGTAGGGAAGCGGAGCAATTGAAAGTGAAAATAGATGAAGAGAAGCAGAAGGTTAACGATCTTCAACGTAAGTTGTTATTTATCAATCGAGAGGGTAGGGTCGGTATCTGTCACCTGCTTAGATGTGAAAATGAACAGCGCTCACTGGCTTTCGAAACTAGAGTTGATCTTTTGCATCAGCTGTTATCTCGGAACGTGACTTTAGATTGTGCTTGCGATGAGCTTTCCCTGGTTATAATACTGCGATTACTATTCCTTATGATTCTGTGATTTAATGATTAGTCACGCTTTCAAGCGTGTTACATGCACCTACTGCAAAAGTTTTGTTACGAATCTTTCGTTTAATTTGTCTTGAGCAGGTCTGATTTATACGAGACCTCTATTAGACGAGAGTTATGCAATATCGTGCCCTAAGATATATTGTTTCTCCTTGTTCATTAAAATCGTTTTAAATTTATTTCAACTTATAACGCGTTATTTTGATTTATATAAGATAGCAAAAACTGTTTGGCGACTTAACAAATAGATTTCATGTTATTGTGCATCAGGTGCATAATAGATCACAGATGACATCAAAATGTGGTAAGAACAAAAAAAGGGGCACACGGAGCGTAGCCTAGTGTGTTCCTTAGGACCAAGTTGTTTCCTTTTTTCCCATTCATAGCTGACTTAGAGGTCTTTTGATTTCAGTAAAAGATGTTGCTCAGAGAGTGGACAACCTTCTCCACTCACCTCTCAAAGTTCGCAGAATTCTGAAGGGTCATCAAGGGAAGGTGCTCTGTTTAGATTGGGCACAGGACAGACGTCACCTTGTCAGCAGCTCACAGGTTGAATGATTTGAATTACATTTGATATCTCTTATTGTCTCTCTTGCTTTAATCAGTTGAGTGAATGATTGTGGACACTGCAGCTAGTTACAGAACAATGGCACAATTAGTTAGTCTCAATGTATGATGAGTCCAAACAATGGTGTAGAAGGAGACTAATGATCTGTGGAAAACTTCACTCTCTTTGCTACCTTAAGGTTTGGTGCTCACTACCCCCTCCTCCATCTCCCCTTGTCCACCCCAAACACAGTGCAGTATTTTGTTTTCTTACCTTGTGGCTAGATATTGATATTTCATTTTTGTGGTGGAACAGTGATCAACTTGTTTAGAGTTGATAGTCCTTGTACATTTATCCTGTTCTTGAGTATTTGATTTTCTTTCGTTTCCTAGGATGGAAAAGTGATCGTCTGGGATGGATTTACAACTCACAAGGTATATAATTATTTATTCTAACAAATAAAGCACTGACTGGTATCAGTATCAGTCTTGTCCTCTCATAAGGACAAGACTGATACAAGCAAAAGGAATACCTCTTTTGTTCTCCAAGCCCTGTTTTTAAGCTGGATTGTGGTGTCTCAGAATAGCTTGTTGTGTATGAAAGTACTTGTTTTCTAGTTCAGAATCAAAATATATTACCCTTATCCTTTTGGTATTTTTTTTCTCTAACAGGAACATGCTATTTCCATGCCAACAACATGGGTTATGGCTTGTGCTTATTCACCAACAGGAACCATGGTTGCTTGTGGGTAAGTTAAGCTGTAATTTTGATGGAAAGTCGTATAGAAAAGTAGTTCCTCTTTGTCAAACAATTCAATGCAAAACTTACTCTAGTCAGAACTAGCTAGGTCATTCAATAAATGATCTCTCAACTCTCAATAATAACTCTTAGCAGCCTAACATTGGTATTTATATTCTCTGTACTAGTCTCCATATCTTTCCCTTGGTACTGGCAAAGAGAATTTGTCTAACAATCAAAGCTTCTTAAGTTTATTCTCATGATCTTAATGAATGATTACAGTATTACTGCAAGAAGAAATTACATTCCTGTCACTCTAAGGATTTAAAGGATTAAGAGTTGTCCACTCTGAAGTTGCACATTACTCATTACATGTCATTGCGTCTTTGAGCATGCTAAGTGGGCTTGTTTATTTGAGTTCTTTTTCATGTGCTTTACTTTTTTTCGGGTGGAAGAATAATTTTTGTCCTCCCAAGATGTTCAGTCAACAATCCATGTGTATTAGTCTTGGTAACAATAAGTGGAATTAGGACAAATCTTTCAGTTAGAACATGATATGAGATTATTACTTTTCCTCCTAGGGGACTTGACAACAAGTGTTCTCTGTTTAAATTGAGTTTTGACGATGATGCTGCCACTAAGAAACAAACTGTTGCTATGCACACCAGCTACATGGCTTGCTGTACATTCACAAACTCAGATCAACAGGTAAATATAGTACAGTAATAGGAGTATTTTTAATAGTAATCAGCATGAAGCAAGAGACATGACGACCTTATCATTAGTGCACAGGAATCCTGATCAGAGGATTGCTTATTGATCTGATACCAAATTCTCCAAATAACATAATGAAAATCATTTGGCAGACAGTAAGGAGAATTACTAATGAGATCTTGGGAGTTAAAGGGTTAACAAGCTTGGTTTTCCATGGTTATGTTTTGTAGATATTGACTGGCAGTGGAGACACAACCTGTGCCTTATGGGATGTTGAGTCAGGACAGCTGTTGCAAAGTTTTCATGGTCATTCGTCCGATGTGATGAGGTGGGGAGGGGCATCTTTCTATTGCTAAGTCTATGTATCCCAAATTTTCTGATATCTTGAACCTAGACAGCTTCTCAAGGCATGTTACACCCTATCATTACTATTTATTTTTTCCACATAGTTCTCGCTACATTTGCAATGGTACTGACAAGGAGAATTTGTTTGACAATCCAGAGTTTCTTGAATTGATGATCATTTCCTTAATTCTTATATCCTTGATGTTTAATTCAAGGGTGGTACTGTAAGGAGAAGTTAGAAGCCAGTCACTCCTTGGAGTTGAATGGAAATTAGAAGTTAAAAAGTTAGGAATTAGAAATTTGAAGCCAGTCACTCTGGGGAGTTCAACAGTTAAGTCAGTCTGTAGAAACCTATCCCCCTCCTAGCCCCAGTCCGCACAGCTATCTATAAGTTTGACTTTCATGCGGATCATTCACATAAAAAAGGTGTGAGCTTGAGTTAAAAGGTAATTGCAAGTACTTCCTTATGCCAGCTGTATTTCAAAATTGTCCGGTAAATTGTTCTTTCATTGAGTATTCCATGTTTCTTATGTTATTAGTATTACCTATGTTATACATATTTCTTGTTAGTTGTATTTCCTATGTTTTTTCCAATCTTGTAGTTAGCTGTTCTGTTCTTGATGTATTATGTTCGTAATACTTTACTTTGAAACCACTGGCAATGGCATGTAAATAAAAGAGTTCAGTTGAGTCATCAGGAAATTAAACTTCTCTTAAATTTATTGCTGGTACATTAGTTACACAGTCTATCTGTGAGTCTGTCATTGTCCCTGGATGTCTCAAACCTGTGGTATCTAGTACATTTGCTATTCCATAACAACTAATGAAAGAAAAACAATTATTCAAGGTGCTTTCCAATTAATTATTTACAGCATTGATCTTGCACCTTCAGAGGGAAGGAATATATTTGTTTCTGGTGTAAGTAACTTCATTTAATCTTTTACCTAACCAAATAATAATGCAGAAACTAGAGGAAGTGTTGTTGTTTTTTTTTTTAAAGAATCAGGATGTTTGAATATAGAATCATTGAACATCATGTAACATTATGTTACCTTTTGTTACTTTACACATTCTATAAATTAATTATCTTAACATGAAGTTTGTTTAAATGGTTAAAATTTTCTCTATTGTTTTTAATCATTTAATACTAATATTTCGCCAAATAGGGATGTGATAAAACTGCTCTTGTTTGGGACATAAGGACTGGACGTTCTGTGAACTCATTTCAAACACATGAATCTGACATCAATGGAGTAAGGTACAGTAGACTACTGTTCATTGTGGTATTACATACCTTGTTTTACTTTGCCTAATGATTTATAACAAAGTTTGTGCACACTCAAGTGGGTTGCAAAGCCAGACTGGTTCTCTATCATTGTTCCCCATTGCCAAACCAACTGCCAGAGATCTAACTAGGTTTGCCAGTCAGCACTTAACAGAAAAATCTTGTAATTCATTTGTAAACTGGCCTCTTTGTTTTGTTCTTGTTAGGTTTTACCCCAGTGGTGAAGCATTTGGCACTGCTTCAGATGATGCAACAGTGAGTAGTGCTGCCAGAACTTTGTTACATTTCCTTACAGATAATTGACTACTAATATCATACTCTGATTAGTGATTTGATGCTTGGTGATGGTTCTGTAAGGCCTGGTAGATGCTAATGACTGGTTTAAAATAATTATGTGGCCTTTTTTCTCTGCAGTGTCGTTTGTATGATTTAAGGGCAGATCATGAGTTAGCAGTGTTTTCTAAAGAACACATTATTTTTGGAGCAGCTGCTTTAGATTTCTCATTAAGTGGTGAGTTCTCAGACTGGAAATATTAAATGTTTTTTTTTTTTAATCAGCTAAGGTCTAACCTAAACTTTAGGGCCAAAAGGTGGGTTCTCAACCAAGGAGCATTATCGTTTACTAATGGACTGTTGGGGAAACCTGATCAAAAGCTCCAATGTAGATGGAAGAAAGAAAAAGGATAGAACTAGGGTGGTGAGGGATAAACTAGACGGAAATGGAAATTGAATGAAATACATTGAAATAATCATATGACTGTTCATGTGCAAATTTATGATTGAAACGTGTTTACTTGTTTTGTTATTCATTGCAGGCAGATTATTGTTCACTGGGTATCATGATTACACCATGAATGTCTGGGATACTCTCAAGGTACGATGACTGTATTATGGTAATGTGTACTTCATATAATGGAAGTTAAGATACTATCGACATTGA